GTCCACCAAGAGCTATCCCTGCGCTCACACTCTAGCCATAGCTGCCAGAGATTCAACCGTCATGGTAAGTTTAGCATCTTTTTAGAAACACTGGATCAAATTCTAAGATGGAGAGGAAAGAATTACCAAGTCCCAACTGGACGTTACAACAGAAGAGTTCCCATCCAGGAACGCGGCAACACCTTACAATCTCCGTTTGAGAATGTGTCAGTTCTCATTAAACAAACACTGGTTATTTTGATCGGCTCCAAAACTGTAAAACAGCTCTAAATCACAAAATCTTAGGATTGTACTCCACACAGACCACTGCAAGAATACAGCACTCATATATTCTCTGCCTTTCAATTCTTTAACGATAGAAAACTGCAACAGAACGACATTGCATTAGTTTTAAAAAGGAAGAAGAAAATTGATTACAAATTCACCGTATCTGGCTTCAAATTTCATTACACAAGATCTGGAAAGAACTGCAGGATCTTGCTCGATAAATTTAGTTTCCTTCATAAACCTAAAATTTCCAAAGCTATGAATCTAGAATTCAAGAGGCACCACCGTTTTTGCCACCATGTAACAATCTTCACCGTTCTTTTGGAGCATCACAGATTTAGTCCGTCCGATTGGGAGCATCCACCATAAGTAAAAATGGATATTCTAAAAATGGAATATGTGACGCCGATGCCAAAATAGCAACTTTAAATAAAGAGTTTGATTTGATGATGATGATGTACAATCCTGCTGTTGCTCTTCTTGACACTATGATCGAGCTTGAGGTTGCAATAGAAGGTGGAAAAGGACAGCTTGTCAATGGCTGCTCAAGCAGGTGGTGAAACTGTCAAGGCACCTGGGAATCTCGTCATTAGTCGTATGTGACTTGTTCAGACATTACACTCATCATCACCCCTGATTTGAAGGTACTGAAATTCATATCCTTTCATTCAAATCTGATTACTTGCTTCTTCCAGATTGGAGAGGAAGTTGTTCTTTTGCACATTACTGTTGGGACTGGCAAAGGTCGTCTGGGAGGTTTAGCGCTGGCCCAATTTTTTTATCAGGTCAGACAAACTGTGGTTTTCTTTCCTTGCTAGCTTCCACTATGGGGATTATTGATACTTGCCTGGACGTTGAAATATTTAAAACGTGCCTTCAATGCGATGCAGGTGATCATGTCATTCATCGGTTTTCTTTTTTAAAAAATCTGGATTTTTCTGCGGACAGGACCTTATTGGCAAGAAACTTATTTCTGCTGGACATAATATCGAAGTTACAGTTTCATTGCTAGAAATGTCTTTGCGAGCAATTGTGGCATTGAAGTAGACATTCCCACTTCATGAACCGGACAATCTAAGCATATCCATGGCAGGAGATATTGCTAGAAGTCGGTGATGAGACCACTGAACCATTAGAATCAGAAACAGATCAAGCATCAACTGAAAGTGCAGTCAAAGACTTGTTCACAACCTTGAGCTTCAGGTAATCTCTTTCCCTGCTTCATTGTAAGAGAGCGCCAGTGCTGCGAATTTCTTCTGTAACTTTTCCACCTTATACACTAGGGATGTATGTAAAAGCCAAGAAGTGGAGAAAATTCCTGAAGAGGTTGCCAAGTTCCCTCTTGAGTACCACAGGTCTCAACAGAGGCAGGATCCAAGTTGGCAACGTAAAATCTGGCTGGAAAATTACGGTTATGGTAACAAAGTTTTGAGTAATTTTGGACAAGGTATCAATGCTTTATCAATTACAGATCTTTATTACTGCTGCAACAGATAGAGATAGCGGCATTATCCATCTTGCATTTGAACCGGTGGAGAAAGTTGCCAGAAATTACTTTCAACACATTACTGAAACCGAGAACACAATATTCACAGACAGTGAATGGCATTCTTGTGTTCATAAAAAAACAAGTTTAATGACAATATCAGCCTCAACACTTTCGCTTTTCTGCATTTTTGCGCGTTGGTGAAGGAGAGCTCAGTACTTTCAGATAGTAACAAACATCAAGTTGTTCCGTGCGACTTCATTGGAATTATCAAAAGACAGCAATCAGTGATTTTGAGAAGTAAGACAATTGTTATTACTCTCGTTACCACAGGCTGACAGTTCATTCAGATGAGATTGTCAGTAAATTTTCATAACAAATGACGAGTTTATATGCCCAAGCAGACGTATTTGCTTATGGCACGGTCAGTAAGGAATCTCTCGTGTTCTTTCATGGTCTAAATGTTTCTTTCTTCATATCCCTGAGGAACCTCAAGCAGAAGGTGTTCTGGATTATTTGATTCCTCATAGAGTAAGTTCCTGAAGGTTCTTTCCTTGCAACTCTACAGTTACCTTGTTCTTGCAGACTTTCACAGGAAACCGTCCATCCCTAAGTGTGCTGTATTATAGATCCAGATTACAAATGATCAAATCCAGATTTTGATTTGATATCAAGTGATGTTATCAAATCATTGCCTTAGTTCCCTTACACCTTGTCTTAGCCATTTCCTAGCAATCTGCCTCTATCCTTCACTAGAACTAAGAAAAAGGCTTTGATACTAAATTATAGACTCCTCAATTTAGACTTCCTGAGAGGTCACCTTGCACAGCACCAAGGACGTTTAACCCCAAATACCTTAACCAATTAGAAAAAGGTGTGCACTCTTTTTTATTTATAGGCCTTTTCCCTTTATATTTAAACCTTTATGGATTATCTCTCGAGTCATTCTCTTTGATTAGTTACAAGATAGTAAGTAGGTTGGGTATAACCAATTAACCTGAGGTATAGTTTAGCTCCTGTTTGCATACCTATCTTTGTTCTACATTTGGCTTGGGTTTAAACCCAAGCTCCATTCCATACTATCTAGTGCAGTACTCATATCCTTGTGTTAGGCCACCAGTATGTTAAAATAGCACTAAACTCCATTTAGCTCTATTTTGCATGCTAGTCCTTGCATTAGGATGTTGGAAACTCTAGAATTGTTCCAATATTACTCTGTGCTTTTATCCTTTTGCTCATTAGGTTGATTGCTCAGGAATTACTTCATGCTCTAGTTCCTTTGCTCTTTGGTTGCAAGCTTTGGAGTTTGGCTCCATTCCTTCATTTAGTGGCCTAAGGCTTTGAAACTTGGGTTTTGCTACATTATCCTTGAATATGTGGCATATGGCAGGTGGCATGTGACACATGGCATATAGAGGTTTTAAATTCCACTTCATGTAAAGTAATGCCATTTATATTTGGAATTGAAGCATCAACCATTTGATTTCTTGAAGGAGCTAGAGCTGGCTCTTAAACATTTCACGAAGTCAACCCATTTGTCCATCTATATTCACACTACCTTGGACTCCCTAGTATTCATATCATCACTCATCATGTGGGTATAGCCTTGCCTGGTTACATTGGTTCCTCTGAAGTCCTTCCCTACTATCCTGCAAATACTTACCAAACCCTATAGGGTTTAGGAGATGATCACTTTGGGCTTTGACTCGGTCTTAGACTTGGACTCAAACTCAGACTTAATCTTAGACTTGAACTCAAACTCAATATTAGACTCAATCTCATACTCGAGCTTAGATCTGGCTTGGACTTGGTCTTAGACTCCATTTCAGACTTGATATTGGACTCAATTTTGAACTCAATCTTAGACATAATCTCAGACTCAATCTCAAACTTAGTCTCGGACTTGGTCCCAACACTTCCATATATCATTACATTTGCCACATATTAATCATTCTTTTGTCCCTTTCTAGAAACTCACTTATTGATCTCTTCATGCTCATTTTTCAGTGCTTCTTTGACTCAGAGCATTTTATCCAAACATGTATGCTTATAAGATTCCAACTTCACTAATTGCCATATAGCACATATTTAGCTTGATTTTGGGACTTAGGGATTTTGGTCTTACATTGCCATTTAGCGCATTTGAATGCTATCATAGTTGCTAACTAAAAAATACATGAATGGTAATAATACAAAGGTATAGGCAAATCATCTAATAAAATAAAATATCAATCTCTAATAGGCTCAACTAACCACCAGCCATTTGAATCATCATAGATGAAAATTTTGACTTCCACAATATACTTATAGAGAACATATTATCTCAATCCAATCTCAACTTCAATAATATCAATGTCAAAATATCACTTCAATGCCATCAACATTAAAATAAAGCTAAAAGAAAGTAAAAGTAAACTACCACTCAAATCTCTCTACTAATTGGACTAACCAAAGTCAAAGATATTAGTATCTAAGACCAATCTTTTATCAATACCCAGTTATGGATAACATAACATTAAGGAATGAATCACTATGTCTAAAAGTCAATACAATTCAACACCACACTAAACATAAGCAGATAATATTAACAAAGGTGTAATCAACATGAAAAACTATGTAAGCTAACAATACAACCCTACACAAAGAAACCTTTCTAGATTATCAAACTTATGATGTTTGGCGAGTTTCTTATCAAACATCATTTAGGGAAATTGAATATGGAGGTGGATGCTTTATTGTGTATTGATCATGTGACAAAGCTATAGACACAATTTTTCATCATTTGAGTAAGGTGGTTAGCAAATTTGGGTAGTTGGTTGAGCATGCTTAGCTTCATGATGAGGTGGTCTCTTTGCTAGCCAAAAGGAAAGCACCTTTCCCATTGGTGGATGGGATGTTCTTCTATAATAACTATATGTATTTTTTATATGTGGATTTGTTGATTAATCAAGTTTTATTCCACTATCATGATCATCCAAAAGCTTGGTGGGGAAATAGAAAGAAAATGTATGAGCTGATTAAACACAATTTTAATTAGAGGAACATAAAGGTTAATATCATTAAGTATTGCAATTCATGTGAGCTCTAAGAAAGAGATGCAAGAAGTTGGGTGGACTTTTGCATTTCTTAGAGCCATTGGTGTAATATCTATATT